TGGAGTCTCAAGATTAGACCGAGACAAGGTATAAACAGTAATAAAAACCCAGCTCTGTCGCCCTACTCAGGCCAGGGTGCTGAGTGCATGGTGAGGGTCGGGCAGCTGACATTCAGATGCACCTGCAGCCAGTGAGGCAAAAGTCTGAGCTGGAAAGGTTCTAGGTTCCCTCAGTCACAGTGTCTCCACCCCATGTTCCAGTCTCCCTGCAGTGCCTGCGTTGCAGCTGCATTGTGCCTTCAGGCTGCTGAGCCCCTTATTGGAAATACCCTGTGCTGCAAGAAATCAGGCACTGCTCAAGTTACTCAGCAAGATATTACTTCTGCAGAAGGATGTGCTCTGGAACAGTTCAGTGAGAAAGCACCCTGGGTGGGCAGGCTGCCTCTTTTTATCCCTAAGGCAGCACTGCCCCTTGCTCTGATAAGAAGTGCTCAGGGCCTACCATCTATGTGATTGACTTTGAAACTGGAGCAGAAAAAGGGAAGGGCTGCAGTTAAAATGGGTGCAATTGGCTCTTATACCAGGTAGCTAGCTAAATACTAAATTCTGGAAAATGGACCACAGGACTTTGTGTTTCCCCCACCTTCACACCCATCCTCCCTGCCTGTCAACCCCTGCACAGTCTCACTGTCCCTTTGAAGGGTAGGGCATCTTAGCAAGCACTGCTGGCCCACTGGCCGGCTGACTGTCCTCGTAGGCATTACCTCCCTCAATTTCCAAGTTTCTGAATCTCTGCATGGGCAAAGGTAACCCTGCTTTGGGACACTTGCTGGAGTCACTGCCCTAGCAACCACTAGTGCCTCCTAGCGGGACAGTCCCTGTTCCCGTTCCTCCCTAGTGCAGTCTCCCTGGCCAGGCAGTGCGAGCTGGCAATCTCAAACCCCATTCACAGTTGGCCATGGGTAAGGCCGGTTCCTGGATGGAAAAGAGTTGGCCAGGTGTGCCACGAGGCTTGGAGAGCGTCCCCCCTACAGGGGTGCCCTACCACTGAGCCACTTTTTATTTTGAAAGAGAGTCTCAATTAGTTGCACAGGCTGGCCGGAACTTGAGATCCTCCTGCTTCACCCTCCCCAGTGGCTGGGATCAGAAGCATGGCCAGGAGGATCATGCTCAGGAGCAGAGGCATTCCATCAAGCTAGCGCCCTGCTGGGACTGAATCCTGGGGAAGGGAGCAGGAAACCATCTCTTGCTGGTGGCACAAGACCTTTTGCACCCCAGCCTGAAAGGACGCCCGCAGAAAGCCCTCCGCGGGGTCTAGAGGGGAGTAGAAAGGTGGGTGGCCCCGTGCCCGCTGCGTAGCGCCCGCTAAAGGTTCTGAAGGAAACCTCGCGCGCGCCCCCAAACGGTCGAGAAGAAACCTCGCAGGCCAGAGGATGGTTCTGGAAGGAAACCTCGTGGGCCAGGTCGGCGATGCCAAGGCAAGTTGTGGGTTTAGCTTTACTACTATTTATTTATTACAGTTTGATATGGAAAATATGAGAATTTTAAGAGAGTGTCCTGTTTTTTATTTTTAAAATATAATTTTTAATTTTTAATGTTTTTTTCTAATTAGTTATTCATAACAGTATTTGCTACAGCCTGTCTGCTCTCGGTACTAATTGTCTTAGTTCATTCAGGCTTTGCCAACAAAAAAACCAAACTGGGTAGCTCATAAACAACAGAAATTTATGCTCAGGGTTCTGGAGTCTGGCAGACCAGGATCAAGGCACAGCACATCTGGAGTCTACTCTTCCCACTGTACATCACCTGGGGGACTGGGTAGGGAGCTGACTGTGCCTGGTGTCTAAGGCCCTTCTGAAGGAGTCCATTCTCCTAACCTAGGCAGGTCGGGAGGCCTCCCTCATAACATCACATTAAGGTTGAGGAGTCCATTTGAATTTGGGGTCAGGCAAACATTCAGACTATAAAAGGGCAGGAGAGGGGTTCAGTTGGAGTGACACCACCCCAGGCTGGCATCAGCAGGATTTGTGCTGGGAACTCTCTCTGGCCTTGGGATATTTGATCCCATGATCCAGGCCAGAGACTAGTGCCTGCCCAGCACACCAGTGAACCACAACTGAGCTCCTGCAGTTCCACACTCTGCTTCTAGAGGCTACCTGAACCCTGCTGTGGTCTAGATAAGTGTCCACCAGAGGCCCCTGGGTTGAAGGTTGGTTCCAGTTAGTGGCACTTTGGGGAGGTGGAGGTGGTGGAATCCTCAGGAGGTGGGGCCTGTTGTGAGGCGGCCAGGTCTTTGGGGACCTGGCCCTTGCTCTGACTGTTTGCCTCCCAGATGCCATGAGGTGGACAGGCCTCCTCTGCCACACACTTCAGCCATGATATGCTGTGCTGCCACAGGCCAGAGCAGCAGGGTCAAATAACCATGGACTAAAACCTTTGAAATCTTTCCTCCTTGCAAGTTGTTTCTCTCAGGTATTTTATCACAGCAATGGAAAGCTGCCTCTCACCCCTTTAACTTTCAGTAGGCTGAGCCCTAGCAAGTGTATTTTTGAACTTATTTTTTATTACTAAAAGACACTGAAAGGAATATATTTTCCATCATAACTGGTGCATAGGAATCCTGCCTGTATGTGGTACACTCTATATTTCCATCCAGTTCAGTAGTACCTTATTTTGTTCTATTTCTCATTTTTTAAAAAATCTAATCAAAATCACTGTACTTTCTGAATCCAGTTAGGAAAGTCATGTGAAAGCCCCAGTGTGTAATGTTTATTTATGAGATGACTGACAGGACTTTCCACAGGGATGGAATCACATATTTAAAAAATAAAGCTGGAGAATCAAATGATCAATTGAAGTGAGCTTGGTGTGAGCCATGACGAAGGGATCCCTGCCACCCTTGAGATCCTTCGGAGTTCTCCATTGTGCTTTCAGGCTGTACATGTGGGCTCATGTGTCCATGTGTGTGTGTGTGTGTGTGTGTGTGTGTGAGGAGCATGGCCTCTGGGGGTCCCCTGGGTCATCTGAGGAGATCCTGTGGGGAACACTGAGCTGTATCTTCCCTGAAGAGCTCAGACCCAGGTAGACTGAGGCCAGGTGCCCCTCGAGGATGGGGCAGGGCTCCCCCCCCCTGTGTCCTGAGGCTGAGCGCCCCCGGCTCAGTCCCCTCTGGGCCCTGTGGGTGAGCGCCCCTCGCCCAGCAGTGCTCAGGGGTCTCCTCTGGGGCCTGCGGGTGGGCGGGGGGTGGTGCCCCTCCCTCCCCAGTGCTCAGTCTGCCCTGGGCCTGGTGGGTGAGCGCCCCTCGCCCGCCAGGGCCCAGGCTCCTCTGAACCCCAATACCCCCTGGGGCCTGGGGAGCGAACTGTGTGGGTGCTGGGGTCACTCCCTCCCGGGCTGGGACACCCTCTTTGGCCTGAGTGGTGAAGCGTCCCCATCAAGGCCACCTGGGAAACTCGGAGAGCACCACAGATACTTGCTCTTGGCCCACACTCTGCTTGGCCTTCGGCCTTTGCTGTGGCTATTCAGGCAGGCTGGTCCACAAAAGCTGCAAAGGCATTTGCTGTGGCCCTTCAGGCAGGCAGGTCCACAAAACCTGCGTGGGAGCCCAAGACCACTCACCGTGAGGGCATCTCAACTCCGAGGGCACGCCCAAGGACCGGGATCCATCCCGCCTGACACACCATTTTCTGGCCTTTCTGCCCCTGGGGCTGTGCTCCTGTGCACGCCTGGCACGCGCCCGGGATGGCGGAGGTCCCTGGGACCAGTGGATGCAGGGCCAATTTCCCAGGGTGTGAGCACATCTGCACTGGGATCCCGGACAGCAGGCACGCGCCACCAGGCACTATCTTGGCCCCAGGGAGGAACACTGTGGGACCTCTGGATCAGGAGCAATGCCCTCCTCCTCCTCGGCAGCATGGTGGGACATTTGGCAAAGGACATCTCCCCTCAATCTTGGAGGAACTGCTGAGACCAGCGAGAGGGCACCACTGTCCCACCCTGGCCCAGGTAACGGGGGACACGGGGCCGAGGGATCCTCTGCAACAGGTGCCCGGGACTCTGAGCCCTGTGGGGGAGCGCCCCTCTCCCACCTGAGCTCATTCTCCAGGGTTCCTGCAGGGGAGCACACTAGGCCCCCCAGCGTTCAGGCTGCTCTGGATCCTGTGGGTGAGCACCCCTCACCCAGCAGTGCTCAGGCAGCCCTGAGTGGGTGGCGTGGCAGGG